CCACTGAACAACAAAAAAAGTTCCTTCTGCAGATAGGCACCAATATTTTAATTCAGGCAGGCGGGCCTTGGATGACTCAGTGTTTTCAGTTGATAAAGGGGAAGGAGAGGGAGAGAGAGTACATTTGGAATTTTTTGTGTTTTAGCATGTGTATTAATTGTATTTCAATAGCATTACTATGTTTAACTTTTGTCAGCTAGTTTGTGGGCTGCCTTGAACATCATCTATTGATCTGTTGGTGGAAAACCAGAATATTTATTAGTCCAACTTTTAGCTGTGAAATACTTTGATTCCAAAAGGTGCAACAGGTTTTACAAGAACATAAATGTATTACCTGTCTGCGACTTGTTAAAGCAACTGTGTCTTTTCCTGGGATCACAGCCATGGGGGGCATTTTTAAAGTTGCAAACAAGAGGTACTTTTCCACCGCCAGGTTTCCTGAAGCAGCTTTTTGCAGGTGAATCCAAAACATTGTACAGATCTAACATATATAATCCTCTATGCATATTATTTACTACTATCTATGAGTCTTCAGAATAGCGTTTGGATAAATGCTTAAACACACACAGTCAGAAACCAATGTAGAAAGCTGGGGAAATTGCCCTCTTCTGCTTCCAGTAGAAAATTGTATCTGTATACTTACTTTAGCCTGTTTATAGAGGGAACGTTCCGCCATGATGAATGAAGATTATCCAGATTTATTACTTGACCCTTTTTATGGGCAAACCCTAACCGGCAGTACATGGAAACAGCATTCTGAAAAGAAAACAACATTCTTCTATCAGCATGCTGTATTTCTGTTTAACAATTTCAAAAAAGAGAAACAGAGAGAAGTTGAGTAATAGACCAGTTATCTTTTCTCTTATACAGTTAAATGGAACGGAAGCCTACCTTCACGAGCGACAAATCAATCTCTAGGACATTTGCTAGCTGAAAGTATACAAAATAGGTAAGGATTAGTGATAATTCTGTTCATACATCAGCTTCATTAAAAAATTCATTTATAGTCAGAGTTAGCCATATACAGAGCAAAATAACTGAGTTAATACAGTGCTTTCCTGGAATATTTAACAACATTTTGTCATGGTGAAATAAAAGCAACCGATGAGCTACATCTGCCTGGTCAACTGGCTAGCATTCTAATGCTACTGTAAATACATTTCTCAAACAAGTCAAACATTTAGCAGAGGCTTAAAGTATAAATATATCCCGAAATGGTAACTCTGCATCACCTATGGAAAATGCAATCTCACACAATCTCACAATCAAAGCGGCTTTCTTCAGCGAGAGCTTTCATTTGGAATAGAGCCACAGCTTAGCAGCACAGTTTATTCTTCAAAATCAAAAGGTCCTTGGCCCAAAGTCTGATTGCTAATCTGATCCAGCATAAATCAGCTTTGTTTGTTAATATGAAGGCAGATTTCAGGTGAGAAAGTTGAAGTATTTTCACAGCTACATTTCATAGTCATTTCAAGGATTTATTACAAACAGCTGGCAATCTGATTTAATACTACTTTCTGTTTGAATAGTGTTTTCCATTAGTACAAAAAGAAAAAAAGGAGAACATTCCTCTGGTTTTTTTCCAGCTTAACACAGGAACTTTATATCATCACCCCGTAATACAGATTGAATGAGGATGGCAGGAAGGTGGTTCTATCAAGGTCCTGATGGGCAGAGAGACAGATGGCAGGAAGCTGAGGACTGGCTGTTCATGGGAATGGTGGGACCAAATGATCGAGACCTGACCTTTCTTCCAGCTCAGAATTCATCCCCAAGCCAGGTCATCAAATCCTTGGTGATCCTAGGATTCTGCTGCTGTTAGGTCACGATGCAGTAAGCCTGTCCTCATCCATGATCTGATTATAGATGAGGCAGACAACCTGGCATTTATAACCAAGACCTGGATAGCATGACGTTATAGCCACCACAGCAACCATGGGCCTGACCCAAGTCACTGAGAGCCCGATACATGCCAGGGGTCCCATAAGATCTGGGTTTTTTTTGTCTCTGCGATGTGATCTGAGTGTGGAGGATATTATCATCTGCCTTTACCGTGGTTAGATCACTCTCTGATCACTTTTCAGCTTGATAACCCACCCCCATCCTGAGAGTTAGAACCTATTAAACTGGCTTGGGATTTTTCCCAAAGATCTGATGGGTGGTTTAGCTGAGGCCTTGGTTGCTGCCTGCAATGGGCATAAGAAGGCCATGGATCACATTGTTTCTGTGTGGCCTCTCACTGTGCATCAATCCAAGATTCTCTTTAGTTTTGTGAGGAACTTTGGCAGATGAAGCAAAGAAGAGACACCTGGAGCACTGTTGAAGGAAAATGAAGAGTGGATCTGACCAAGCACAAGTAATAACCCATATTAGGGATTACCTCTATTGATAAGGGTGGCAAAATATAGTTATTTCTCTGCTTTGAGCATGTCTGAGATGACCATCCAGCAGCTGTCTTTAAAGTGACTTGCTTCTTGTGGGGAGGAACAAGCCACAAGATCACATGGATGGCTGCTATGAGAATATTCTAGACATCTGGTAGATAAAGTTGGTCAGATTCTTTTGAAATTGGACGCTGCTTGGACAAGCCCTGTTGTTGATGGAACCAAAGTCTTGTGTGGTTATTGGGGGTGAGTTCGATTCCTGAGGAAGTGGACAGAGACCTTGGGTCTATGAATCCAGCACCCACTTCTAGATCCATAATCCTTCTGGCTGGTAAAGACTGCCCGAGGGACAATATATATGCGGTAATATCTGCTTTGCCAATAGAGGAGGTGGTTTCACCTGCCTTGAAAGAAGTAGTGGCATGTCCTCTCCTAAAGAATCCTTCACTGGACCTGACAGTCCTGGAAAATGTTCATTTAATCTGCAACCTATATTTTTAGAGGAGAGTTCTGAGAAGGTGGTTGGGGTATAGCTTTAGAAGGCCCAAGAAGGTATGAATTATATAGACTGGCAAGTAGTATAAGTACATACTTTTTTTAACGGGGTTTGATCAGATAAGAAAGTGCTGAGTCATGAGGATGTCACCGGGGGGGGGGGG